GGCAGCAGCTGAATTGTTGAACATAATGTGGAATTTATCAGCTCATGTATCCTCCTCCTACCATGTTTACAATGAGAATTTCTCAGAGTAATAAGATTGCTTTTTGAATCTGTGAAAACATTTATAACATTATATGGTTTAGAGCCAATCCAATAAACATCGCAAGTGTTTGAATATTGGTCATTCTTCTGGGTTGTTTGGAATTTAGCAGCTCACCATCCAAGCATATAAAGATAACTGCCTGCTTTATCGAGTACCCATATAGAAAACAAGGTTAAAGAAACTGTCTTTATCTGGAATATCGAGTTGCCCATTATTGCAAGATTTATTTTGGTTACAAATAAAAATAAAAAAAAAAGAAAGTGACTGAAAAGGTCTGCCCTATTTGGAACAGTGCCTGTTTTTTCGAGGTGCCCATTAATTGAGATTTTTCTGTAATTTCCATTTGATATTTATTAATATTTTTCATTTTTGTGGTTTTTACTGTGTACCAACAAGATGTTTCTGTTATTGAAAACTGCAATATGCATAAATATCATGTTAAGAAGCACGTATGTATAAGTTAAAACAGATTCATAGACATTTCCTGTTTGTACATAAATGGAAACTCGTAATAAAGATAACACAATCTTGTGTTTAGTTAGATTGGGTTTATTGTGTTTAATCAGTAATATCTTAAGTGCATAATTTCTACTTATTTGTGAGACTCCTATAGTGTTGTATGTTGTCACTGACTAATTACATTGGACTAAGATATGCCATGATATGTTTATTAGTTTTTAAGCTCCTGATACATTCTTTTACTGGTACCAATAATTTGTTTAGTAGAATGTAGTAATACCTAGAATTGTATCTTTTGTAAATGCTTTAGAAATGTTCTAAGAGTGAAATCAAATTCTTGAGATGTGATTTTGGTCATTTTAATCATTTGTTTCAAATAATATTATGTTATTATACTGATGCACTTATTATTACTCTTTTTCAAACGACTTGATTTATGGCTAGTAAGAACTTCTGTTGCACCATTTCTTTATTTGGATATTTTGAATTTTTGCAAATTCCTTCCTCTGTGAGCTACAATTGGTCAATTCTAAAACACCTGATTAAGAAAAACTTGTAGCTATAACTATGGTGTTTTTGTTAATTCTTGTTAATAATGCCTTTTTATTTTTTGCTTTAATAAAAAAAAATATATCTTTGTTCTACAGTTGTAGATTTTGTAAGTCATAAATTAACATATTGATTGAATGGTGCAAAATATCCTTCATGTGTTTCAACACTAATTTTTAAAATTCAACATTATAACCAATAATATTAAACTAATTATAAAAGATGAATGAGGTCATATAAATCAAATGCCTTATTACATAAAATAAGAAGAGTAAGTATTTAAACTAATAGCATACTCAAAGAAATAGAACTTCAAAGACTAGGTTAAAGGTTAAAATCCTTACTAAAACATGAAACTCAAGATTAATTAGACAGAAAGGTCATACACTGACAAAATACAGTGCAGTATGAGTCATTATAAAACAAAATAATATTGAAGCTTTTCCAGTTGAACAGAAAACCAAAACCAACATGTGCACTACATGACAACAGTGTGTTTCATCAGACACAGACATCATCCAGTTTATGGTGAAACTGCTACCTTTTTAGTCATTTATTAGAAGCACACATTTAGTTATCTTAAAACCTTGCAGTATTTTTGGCTTATCACACTGACTTAACATATAAGTGTTAATAATTTATGGTTTATGCTGCTCTTACTGGAGTTCATTTCAAATGTGCAAATGGCAAGGAATAAGCAGGTTTGACCTCTGTAAGTAACAAGGTGGACTATTAACTTGAACCAATGTGATCTGTGTAGACAGTGTGAAATAGGAAAATTTATAATAATGATGTTAAACTGTTCAACCTTTGCCTGTATACTAAAATTGCTGAAGAGCTGCTGTTTGCACTTGCACATTTTAAACTGTTTTTAAATAACTTTATTTTTGATATCAATAACTTCTCTTTATTTCAGTCATTACCAACTGTTTTTGTTTTCTAAAAATGGGTAGGAATTCTAGTTCTCAAGCAGAGAAATTTCTAGACCTGATGCTTTTTATTTTTTCTACAGAAAAGTAGAACAAAATTTGTTTGAAGGAATTTTTTTGTTTTAACATATGTTACAACCTCTATAATCTAGTTTGATGGCTTTGAGTTTCATAAGTTTTTAGGGGTCTGTAGACAAATCATATCTGTAATGTTTAGTTGTTTCTGGTGTAAAATATTGCATTTTTTGTGTACTTTTTTTAGGTTGTGGTAACTAACAGTATTCCTCATGAAGTACAAAAAATGCAGTGTCACAAGATCAAGACAGTGGATATCAGCATTCTTCTTGCCGAAGCCATTCGAAGAATTCATAATAAGGAGTCTATGTCCTATTTGTTCCGTAACGTGACCTTAGAAGATTAGAACACTTTCAGTATATTTTAAATTTTCAAAATTTACTCTTAACTGCATTGGAACAAAACCAATCAAAAGCTTTTATCAAAAAGGAACTGGAAATATTGAAGACCATGTAACATTTGTATGATAACATTAGTTAATAGTGGTCAAGGTCTATTTAAAGGTATGCTAAGAAGTATCTATCTTTTAAAAAAAAATCTAACAAGTAAGGTTTTTTCTTTTATATTATTAAGAAGATTATATACTGATATTTCTATCACTTTGTTATTACCGTACCTAAGTAAAAGTTTTTCATTTCACTTTTTTGTCCTAACATAGAAAAGCTTATTAAGTATAAAGGCATACTTTTGAGTGGAACAAAGAGTTTCAGAAATATACATATTTTGGAAAGGTCAAACAGTAAAATATTAAAGATAACTGTATGTAAAACATGGGCATTCATTGCTGTGAACTGAAATGAAAATAGATTTGATTGAGTGTAAATGTATGTTTAAGAACAGTTGTTAAAATGCTACAGTACTTTAGATGCCAGTTTGATTTGAATGTGAAATTGAGTATGTAACATTGTTAGAATCTTAAAAAAATATCTTATGAAAGTTTTTCTAATTTGCTTTAGACTTTATGCTGTAGGTCTTCATAGTGGAATTTTAGCTATAAAACTAATATTCTATAATCTATATATTTCTGTTGTAATGAGATTTAAATTAGGCATTGTTGTTATTATTTTCTGTTTAATATGAAGTTTTTTAAGGGTACTGAATATGTATTGAATGAATGTGCTAACATGTTATCCTTTATGGATAAATGTTGTTAAAAGTAGTAATTCACATTGATTTTTTTATAACTTTGGTGTGTTAGATCCCAAAACAATTTTATAATAATCATAGAAATTGTACATAGAATATTAAATACTATATTAAGATCATTTTGAATAATAGTTAATAACATATATCAAACTAAAATGTTTCTTAGGTCATATATATACATTTTGAAAGTTGTTAAAAATTCAACAAATTTTAAATGATACTCTACAAACTAGTAAGAATAGTCACATTTGAAATACTTTTTTTAGAAAGCATACTATATGATTTTAGCCATAAGGATTTTATGCCATATCCAAAGATTTGAGGGAAAAATTGCTTAGTTTTAAAACTACTGATGATTGTTTTTGTTCCATTAACCTTTTTCACTACAAAGTAATCTCCCCTGGTTCTAGATTATCTAGAAGCCTTGTCATAACCATATAAACTAAACAGAAACAGTTGGTACCACTATATTTTTGAATAATATCAATAATTGTTTTTCTTTAGTAAATACAAAGTATTTTATATTAACAAGAGTAGCCTATAAACTTTCTTAATGTGTTGTTCTTTTTTCTAGCTTTCTTTTTATGCTTTTAATATAGTTTATATAGAAACAAATATAAACAGAAATTGTTATAATTTTTGAAGCTTGTGTACTTTTAAGTATTTTTTAAGATCCAAAAAGATGACAAAAAATCATACTCGGATAACCAGTTGCTTTTAATTTGTAATCTGTTTGGAGCTTTTAAATTACTTGTTAAGCTGCCTTACAACAAAATCTATTTTTCTCCTTCTGTGGTTTCTTGATTTAAATGTACGCTGTTGTATTGAAAGGAACACTTAGTAAGCCATTTCTTATATTTACTTAAGGCCTTAATGTTAAAAATGATCATAACTTTTGAAAGAACAATTCAGATCACTAACAAACAATATGATTAGTACTGTATTGTAGAAATAATGTCTCATTTACACTACAAATTGCCTTGAGTTATGGGGTAATATCGGTATATGTTTTTTTGTATAACAAGTAGCTGCTTTGTTGATTGTAGGGTAGAATCCATTTAAGCTAAGGTTATGTACTAAATGAACTTAGCACTAGATGTAAGTAAAGTACAAATTGATTTGGTTGCTTGGTAAAACAATTTTTCCTAATTCTAAAGTTGGTAAAATTGGAATTTTTATGTTAGTGAATATGTGTGTACTTGATAGGAAGAAATAAACTGTTTGCATTTGTGTATCTAAGTGTTGTATTTGTAATAAAATGTTTTTTAGCACCCACAGAAGAACCTTAACTATTCTTGAATGTTTAATTGTTTTATTATTTTTGGTAGTAAAAAAAAATCCATAATTTTGTTTTAGAAATTAGAATATTAAGGTTAAAGGCCTAAATAATATAAGATGTTTTTATGTTCACTCAGGTTTCTTAATTTTTATTAAGAAAAGATAACTCATCATATGCTTAAAATCTTAAGGGAAAGAAAAGGTTAAAAACCAAAGAAACTATTCACTCCAATTTTGCGGTATGCTTTTGTAAAATTTCTCTCATATTCAATATCTTTTGGAATTGTTTTAAATATTTTAATTATTTCAGACTAGTACCTTCGTAAATTTCAGTAGCTACCAAATAAAATATTTTTCCCATAGGATTAATTTAAGAGATGGTTGAGAAGGAAAGATTTTGGTGATAAGTTGTCATGGGATTAGTAATATATACAATTACCTATACTAATTATTAATTTGTTTTAATTATGACTAGAAACTAACTACTTTATAGTCTTTGTTTATGATGCTGCTCTACTGCTCTCTTTATGAGAAGAATTGGTTGTTGTGGTACCATGGTAGTGGCCAGAATTGAATCCTGGGTTTTCTTGATAGAAAATTATGTATAATCAACTTATCTCCGGTCTCCTTCATTACAATGGAATCATCTAACTGACTTGAATTATTCCAGGTTTTGCTCACTTCTTTGCTAGGTTGACTTAATGTGATATCAGTTAGGTAGATATAGAAAGCTTCTTATATCTTTCCGTATTTCATGTCTAGTTCACATTCTGTTAGTATTATTCCAGTTTATAGTATGGCCTTTCTCTTTGGCATAATGGGCTGTTGCAGATACATTGATATTACAGTGTATTGTATGTCTTTTGTTCCTGAAATCTAACTTGAGTTTTTTGTTTTTCCATTGTATTGGAGTCCACATTCATAAGGGATACTGTAAATGTTTTTACATCCCATTAGGTTTTTAGGTGGTTTGATGTGTATTAATTGTTATCATATTGTAGTGTCTGAATACTGTTGTGACATTATGCTGTTTGCATGTCCTCTGTATATTATCAGAGAGATGTTTGACATAGGAAACATGGGTGAGTGGGTGTGTCTAATTTTCTTCCTGCTTATTCTTGGCATTTATCTTCATTATCTTTTTTATGAAGTTTTGAGGGTATCCATTGTGAAGAAGGGTTGTAGTGGTATGTTTTCCTTCCTTCTTAGCAATTTCTGTATTACAATTTTTTCATTCTGGAAAGTGTGCAGTCTGTGATGACTATCTTTAAATTGTTGGAGTGGTTTGATTTATAGTTGATCTATTTACTCTATTTGTGGGTAGCCTGTAAACTCCTATGGTACATGAATTATGTATCTTGATATCTAGAAACTGTATCAACACAGCATACTTTTAAACTCCTATCACCACTTCACTAGTATTTAGTAACCTCTACTTGAAACATTTTGAAGCTATCGTCCTCAAAACAGCTGACCTAAAACTCAGGGTCTTGGTGAGATGTATTAATGATACAGGAATATTTTCAGGTGATTTGTTTTCCATAGGAGATGAGATAGTTAAGACTCACTAATAACAGCAGGTTCAATCAGAAATAACGAATATCTGTAGCATGATAAATAGAGATAGGACACATTTGATGGGCAATGAAACAATCTCTTTAGACACACACAGAAAACAGGGTGTAAACCTGTGTAGATAAGTAGACAATCACCTATACTGGTTCATTGAATAGATTGTCAGCTTTCTGTCCCACAAGATGAATCTCTGTCGAACTTACCACGATGTAAATCAAGTAGAACTAAGAAAGCATGTCCAAACTCAACAGATAAACTTTGTGTCTTTGTCCAGTCGATAATGTCACATCATGACCTTTGTTTTTATTGATCAGCTATAATATTCATAAATGTCAATTTGATCAGGATAGGACATTAAAGTCGCAAATTCTTTCAAACTAGATCCTATATGCTAATGCAATATCATCTAGGCAGAATAGACATTATGTACTGTAGAGAACAAAGCAGCTAGAAAACGTAATCTCACCGGCTTTCTGGACTTTGTGTTTAAGCTAAAACTGCATAGAAGCTAACTAAAAAAAAAATTAAATCAATTTCCAGGTCACTAAAGCAGGTAGAAAATATATGATATGCCTACATATCGCAACATTACAGAAATGTTTGTAGAATTCGTGCATCACCTGAAGAGATAGAGATTCAATTCAGAGTGGAAATAAAAAATAAAAAAAATTCTAGACTAGCAGCCAAATATTGGGATATAAACTAGTTAAAAACAAGTAATAAAAACATTTTGAAAAAAATAAGGTTGATGCGGGGATGGCAATGCCAAAAAGTACAGAAACAAGGTAGGGATGAATACACAAATCTCTACACAAGTAGCCAAATCTTTCCAAGAAAAACTTTTACCAACAACTAAATGTTGAATTCATTTGCATGAATTCAGGTTTGAATAAAATCATGTAAACTAAATAATGCTATGAAGTCCTACAACAGTTAATTCCCATAAGCTTGTGAGATTGACTTAATACTTACTGACTACTTATGTAGGGATTTTTAACTATTTTTTTCTTTTTAAAACACCTTTGTTTTCTATCATTTTGTAATCGGTCTTCGCTTTTTTCGAGGATTTGAATGTTACTGCTTTTTTTTTCTTGTCATCGAAAGCAGAAAGCATTTGTACTTTCAACGTTAAAGACCTATAATTTTTTACTTGCTAGGAAGAGTAATAGATCTTTGAATTGTTTAATACATTGATTGAAATCTGTTCAGACATAACTTAATTTTAAATATTGTACATCCAAATCTGAACGACATTATTAGATTCTGAGAGGGACAGCAATAGTTACTTACATTGGGTTTGGGCGGGAAATGTCGGATACTCTCATCATGGTTTCAGGCACAGTTGGGTCAGCTGGGCAATCGACAGCAGGTCCAGTGGCTCCCTTACTTCGAGTCGGGAGACTGATTTCCAGTTCAAAACATGGGTTTTTAAACATTTCTTTAGTGTTCTTACGACTTACCAAATAGTGTACACATCTAATCTGCAAGTAGATCTGACACTTAATTGAACTATTTTTGCCAACTCGTTATAAGTCTTGGAATCATAAACAAAAATTCTTAAATAACTGATCAGGGTCGAAGATGGTAAATCGACAGCCTGTTTGCCTGCATCTCTCTTCATCATCTTCAGATTAATGTTCCGGCTAATCCCTTTTATGGAAGTTGTGTCGAAGTTAACATAAACTTTTCTCGCAGCTTTCTCTCTGCTATGGTGGCGTCAGTTTATAGATAATGTAAACAGTTGATCCTCAGTATCTTAGTTGATATATATACAGGGGTTGGACAAAATAATGGAAACACCTTGGAAAATCAACAAAATACATTTTGATATGGTGTAGGTCCACCTTTTGAGGCAATTACATCATT